ATATATATATATATATAAACAAGGATTATATATAATCTTTGGCAAGAGGAATATATATGTGTGTGTATACACACACATCACATTTATATATACATCACATAATTATCATATATATATCACATAATTATACTTGTGCTTAAGTGCATTTATATATGTTATAAAATCTATAATATGTGCAATTATGTTATCATATAAAATATTATCAACATATTGTATATTTCACACATGTAAATATGTAAATGTACATTTATGTGACCCTCACATACAGATTAGGCAGTTATAAGTACATAAATGTATATAAGTATGGTAAATATATCTCACAGGCCTCTTATTGATGCTCAAAGCTAAAGGAGATATTTCATCCAGTTTTTTTTTTAACTTTTATTTATTTTTGAGAGACAGAGAGAGATAGAGCATGAGTGAGAGGGGCAGAGAGAGAGGGAGACACAGAATCTGAAGCAGGCTCCAGGCTCTGAGCTGTCAGCACAGAGCCCAACATGGGGCTCGAACCCACAGACTGTGAGATGAGGACTTGCGCCAAAGTCGGATGCTTCACCGACTGAGCCACCCAGGCACCCCTCATCCCAGTTATGTAATGGAGTCTTTTCACCCTTCTCTCCTCACACTCTGACTTCCCCTCACATTTAACTTTGAAACCAGTCTGCATCTGAGTTTTGTCAATATATTTATTTGCCAGTAAGTATAAGCTATTGTTAGTTCTATCATTCATGGGAAAAAAGAAATCCAGTGTCCCATCTCCCAACCTTCTGACCATCTTGGCTGCACGGCTTCCTAAAGACTCATGGGATGTGCACACAGAGGGCCCTGAATAAACACATGACTTAACAGCTATGACTTTGGCAGCATGACTAGCTGGTTTCTTGCTGTGGTGACAGGGCTGGTCTGGACACAGAACTCTGGGCTCTGAGGCCCTCCTGCTAAAAATGGTCCACTCTGCCAACCTCCCACCCCACCCATGTTGCAACTGGCCTTCCAAAGGTGGCCGCTCCAAGTGGGAGGCAGCTGGGGCTAGCTTTACAAGTTAAGAGAGGAGAAACTAGATGAAGGGTGAGAGAAAGTGGGAAAAATACGAAGATATTGGTGGGCCCCTGGGAAGTGAACTTTTGCCCTAGTCTGTTTCCACACAAGGCTGACCCACACAGGCTAATTCCTATTGTGAATCTCAACTCCATTTTGTCCTGACCCAAGCCATAGCTCTCTGTCCTTAGATGTGGAAGTAAAAGACACTCAAAGACTTCCTAGTGACATCAGAGTGTTTGAGTAACAGAGTTTGCAAGATACATGCCCTGCACATAGACCCCTTCCACTTTGCCCCCATTAAGGCCAAACTCCAGGCAGGTGAGTCGGCAGGAAGACAGCACCTCTGACAGCAGAAACCAAATAGGTAGAATAAAAAAAGCAAAAGCCAAATCCTATCTCTGGGCCTTTGTCTAGGGAAAAGCATGCCCTTCCTTCCAGGAACCTGAGTCCTGGTATGAGAAGTACTAATGACCCTTGAACATTACTACAGGGGTTGGGGGCACCAACCCCCCACTCAGCTGAAACTTCGTGTATAAGCTTTGACTCCCCAAGGACTTTACCAATAGCTTACTGTTGACCAGAAGCCTTACTGATAACATAGACAGTTGATTAACATAGATTTTTGTATTACATTTATTACAGACTGTCTTCTTACATTAAAGTAAGCTAAAGAAAAAATGTTATTAAGAAACTCATAAGGAAGAGAAAATATGTTTACAGTAACATACATTTATCAAAAAAAAAAAAAAGTAGACCTGCACAGTTTAAGCCTATGTTGTTCAAGACTCAACCATATTTTGCTTTGGAGAGGGTGCTGACTCTGCCCCATCAACAACCGGGAGCCCCTCAGCAAGCCTTTCTGAAATGACCCTTTACTCACCTTCGGCATCCTGTAGCCCCTGCTTAGAATGAAATCCTTAAAGGCAATTGTTCCATGAAGGTCTGCAAGTAACTCCCCCTAAAAGAGGAATCACATGTAAAAAAAAAAAAAAAAAAAGTGAGCTGTCAGAAGCCTGATTTCATTCTTGTCCTAATTAAAAGCATTTAGCTCCTTATGAAGTACCTTATTTTAAATCAGTTCCTCCTCATCTGAGAGTGTATGTGTGGATAATGTTCTCAAATCGGCGAATATAAAGGCTTTCAAAAGATGTCCCACTTTCTCTCCTTTCTCTACCATTGTATTAAAGATAAGCAATACAGTTTAGCAATTAAACAATTATTAAGTCAAGATGTCTGGAATCTAAACTTTTTGAGATTAATAAGTATGATACTGTGATTTTTATTTTTATCTTTTTTTAATGTTCATTTATTTATTTTGAGAGAGAGCATGTGGATAAGCAGCAGAGGGGCAGAGAGAGAGAGAGAGAGAGAGAGAGAGAGAGGGAATCCCACGTGTGGGGCTCCACGTGTGGGGCTCCATCCCACGAACCATGAGATTGTGACCTGAGCTGAAATCAAGAGTTAGACGCTTAACCAACTGAGCCACCCAGGCACAATACTGTGATTTTCTTTTCTTTTTTTATTATGATTTTTAAAAATTTTTTTTTAATTTACATCCACATTAGTTAGCATATAGTGCAATAATGATTTCAGAAGTAGATTCCAGTGATCCATCCCTTATGTATAATACCCAATGCTCATCCCAACAAGTGTCTTCTCTAGTGCCCTTTACCCATTTGCCCATCCCCCCACCCACAACCCCTCCAGCAACCCTCAGTTTGTTCTCTGTATTTAAGAGTGTCTTATGTTTTGTGTCTCTCCTTGATTTTGTATTATTTTTACTTCCTTTCCCTTATGTTTACCTGTTTTGTATCTTAAATTCTTCATATGAGTGAAGTCATATATTTGTCTTTCCCTGACTGACTGACTTCGCTTAGCATAATACCCTCAAGTTCTATCCACGTAGTTGCAAATGGCAAGATTTCATTCTTTTTGATAGCTGAGTACTACTCCATTGGACAATATTGTGATTTTTAATAAGAAATATATCTGGTCTTCTTCCCATTCCCAGCATAGAGCTCCTAAAACCATTGCAATTTCCAAGTAATAAGAGCCACAAAGATGAAAGGAGAATTTTTTGTTCTTCACAACTAGCCCCTTTTAGTCACAACAGAGTTTATTTTAATGAAGTGATTTTTGGAAAGTCCCTCAATAGCCACAGGATGGGGTCAGGTTGCCAGAGGAAACAACCATGTATTGGAACTTTTGACTCCACCCTGAAACCTCTGGCTGAATTAATCACTGGTGACCAATGATTGAAACAACCATTCCTACTTATGAAAGCCTCCATAAAAACCCAAAAGGATAGGGTTCAGAGAACTTCCAGCCTGGTGAGCATGTGGAGATTTCAGGAGGGTGGTGTGCCTGGCTAGGGCACAGAAGCTCTGCACCCTTTTTCATATACCTCGCTCTGTGCATCTGGCTATTCTTGAGTTATATCCTTTTATAATAAAGCCATAATCTGGTAAATTGTTTTCCTAAATTTTCGAGCAGATGATAGAACCTGAGGAGGAGGTGTGGGGGAATCCCAGCTGAATGGTCAGAAGCACAGGTGATAATCTCAATTTGTGATTGTGAGGGCAGTGTTGTGAGACTGAGCCCTGAACCTGTGGGGTCTGATGCAAACTCCAAGTAGAGTGTCAGAAATGAGTTAAGTTGGAGGACACCCAGCTGATGTCTGGTGAATCAGAGAATTGTTTGGGGGTGAGGGGGGAAACTGGATACATTTGGTGACCAGAACTGAGAGTAGTAGAGGAAGAAACAGGAGTGTTTTTCCCACAGGAAAAATAGCCACAATTTTTAGATGTTAAAAAAGAACAACAACCCCAACAAGGAGTCACTTCTGTTAAGCCCCACCCAGATTTAACACCTAACCTAACTGCCATTTCAGCCTCTCCCAGGAGTGGGATTTTAAGCCAGTCAGTCTGGGATTTCCTGATGAGCACTAGTGAGGTACTCTGCATAAGGACCCCAGCCCCTCCCTCTAAGGAAGGTGACCTTGCCTAAAACAATCCTTTCTTTTCTTTTGCTAATAACTTCCTTATCCTGCCCTATTTCTGCCTATAGAAGCCTTCCATTTTGTTCAAGTCCTTGGAGCACACTTCTGTCTATTAGATGGGATGCTGCCCAATTCATGGAACACTGAATAAAGGCAATTAGATCTTCAAATTAACTTGGTTGAATTTTTGTTCTCTGACGGTTTGGTGGCAGCAGGGGGACCAAAGGAGACTTCCAGTGGCTTTGGGGAACAACAAGAAACAGGCATGGTGCCTGAGAACACTTCATTCTCTTGCTGCTTCTGAGGGCCATTGGTCACTTCGTTTCAGTTCTGAGCTCCGCTTCCTGCATCAAGCTGGTGATCTAACTGGCTTTCCACATTTCCCTTCCACTGGAAAGCCCCGCCCTTGGTTCTATCACCAGATCCATGTTGGGAACCGCTTGGTGGCAGCTATAGTTCCCCATTTGTTTGGGATCAGTCCACAGCCCCTATAATTTCAGGTCTGCTGGTTCAACCCTTTTTCTAATCTCCAGATTCCACACAGGGAACTCTAGTGGTTATGGGTCAGAGTTGGACTGGGTCCAACTTCAAAACCAGACTGGGTCTGATTTGGGATTGGACTGGGTCCAATTTCAGCTGCTCTGGGCCTGACTTGGGCTGGATGGGTCCAGTGGGAGGCCTCAGGTATTAAGTATTAAATAAGGGCTAGTTGCTAATAATAATCTCAGAAGCTGAGCAGAAAAGATTGGTGGGGTGGGGTTGAGCATTTAAAGGTTGTTACAGTGCTTGCCACTTTAAGAGGACTTCTGTGATAGGCAATCTGAGTATCAATTTAGCTCCAAGAAACCCGAAGACCTGCTAGCTAAAAGAAATGGGATCCTTTATATCCAGAGATCCACCTCCCCACATGCTTGTCTATTTTAATGTCTGAGAACTATGGTCCCAGAGATTGCAGATATCTAGCAAAATGGCAAAATTTTACTAAAAATAACCTAGAGTAACAATGGCCATTATGGGGAACATTCCAATTAGACAAGATCACTTATTTTGAAAATGCTCTTGAGAGGGGTGCCTGGGTGGGTCAGTTGGTTAAGCATCCAACTCTTGATTTCGGCTCAGGTCATGATCTCACGACCCTGAGATCAAGCCCTGCTGCATCAGGCTCTGTACTTACAGTATGGGGCCTGCTTGGGATTTTCTCTCTCCCTCTCCCTCTGCCCCTCCCCCATTCATGCTCTCCCTCCCTCCCTCTCTCTCTCTCAAAATAAATAAACATTTTTTAAAAAGGGAAAAAAGCACTTGAGGGCAAGAGGGTCCAAGTTGAACACACAGAATGGGATGCTTACTTTAGTTGGTATGCAGACGTCTCCACAACGTTTGAAGATTCCAAAATAGCCTCATTAAAAGACTTGGTTACAAAAAGCCAGTGAAAAATTAAAGACACTAGAGGTACAGGAAACAAAAGACCACAGGACTGATGTAACTCCTACTGCTCCCCCATCCTTTTTCACCTGACAACTCATGTTTTATTAATCCTCTGTCTGAACATCCTTTCCACTCTTAAGAGACTATTGGACAGTTACCAGTTACCTTTTAAAATAAAACTACCCGGGGCGGGGGCGGGGGGGGCCTGAGTGGCTCAGTCAGTTAAGGGACCAACTCTTGATCTTGGCTCAGGTCATGATTTCACAGGTGGAGCCCCACATCGGGCTCCACAATGACAGCTTAGAGCCTGCTTGGGATTCTCTCTCTCCCTCTCTCTCTCTGCCCCTCTCCTGCACATTCTCTCTGGCTCTCTGGCTCTCTCTCTCTAAGTAAATAATACACTTTAAAAAATAAATAAAATTAAAATAAAATAAAACTACCAAGGTTGCAAACGAATTTCTCAGTTATCTTTTATCTCTTGGTCAACGACTGAACATTTAATGGCTGTAATTAAAGAAATTCCTAAATCTAGGGAGGAAGCCTGAAAGTTTTTTAAAGAATCTGAGTCCTTATCAGTGCCTATGACACCAAGATGCCAGGTCTTTATCAGCATGTAAACATGTGAAGCCCAAAAATGGATGCAGTCAGCAAGACAGCAAAACCCCATGGATGATATTCAAGCTCTTTGGTCTTCAACATCTCAGGGACTAGAAAAAGCTCACAAAATAGCAGCTGAGCTGTTACACATTCCTAGGTATAACTAAGCCTCTCCCTAAATCACCTCAATAACCATTAAAGCCTGAAGCGTCAAACCCATAAAAGACCTAATTGCTCAGGGTTAATCATTCCCTGTACCAGTTCCTGCAACAGCTACCCAGTCTTGCAGTCTAGAAACCTAATGGACTGGGATGTTGATTTTTTTCCAGGATTTGAGACCTATTAATAAGACATTTATTCCCCACCTCCCAGTCATTCCAAACCTGAACACCCCTTCGTCACAAGTTCTACCAGACTCAAAATGGTCCACTACCGTGGACCTCTGTTTAGCCTTTTTCAACATCCTTGGAGACCCCAGTAGCCAGTATCTATTTGCCTTACTTGGAACTATCAACACTATACCTGGACAATCATGCCTCAAGAGTTCATTGAGGCTCTTTCTCACCTCTCTAGAGCACTTCACCCAGGGTTAAGCACACTCCAGTTCCAAGGGAAATCAACCCTTTTACAATATATAGAAGACCTCTTGCTATGCTCAGCTACTAAAGAGGAATCCATAAAAGATTCCATTTATTTGCTACAGCAGTTAGCTGAAAAGAGACACAAAGTCTCTAAGAAAAAATTATAATTATCTCTAGACATTGTTCATTACCTGGGTCATTATCTACGCCCTGGAGGAATTCAGCTGTCTCCCAAAAGAATTAAGTTAATCCAGGAATTTCTGTCAACTAGGTGACAGATTTGTGGATTACTAGGCTTGGCTTGCTACTGCAGCCTATGGACTCCTAAATTTTCTCTATTAGCTATCCAACTCTAGG